TTTTTGAAAAAGTGTAATTTCCCCTACCCCTCCTTTTTACTTGAATTTCCTCAATGTTCTCTCCTTCCTTCCTTCCTTCCTTCCTTCCTTCCCTCCTTCCTTCCTTCCTTCCTTCCTTCCTTCCTTCCTTCCTTCCTTCCTTCTGAGATCATGCCAGAGAGTGTTGTTGTAAGCAAGCTCATATAAGCAGATGCCCCCATTCAACCATATGAAATATAACACACTCCAGTCACACTGTGTGCTTTTATTCATCTCTGATACACAACATCTATTCAGATAAAATAGATTGTAGCCTCTTTTATGTTTGGAGTGGGCGTCTTTTTTATAAAGGAAACTGAGTTGTATTGTAGTGAGTAAGAATGCATTTTGAACTGTAACAATGTTGTTTGTAGGATGCTCATTCCGGTGTTTTGTTGCATTTAAAAAAAGCTTTTATTCACTGTCTGATCCAAGGTGTTTGATATGGGCGAAGAAGAACATGATATTATTCTCCAAAAAGTTCAAGAAGCCAAGGTGAGACATGTTGTAAGAACATTTAAATTATTATAATTTTTTGTATTTCATCTGTTTGATATGTAATCTGGTGTATGGATCATAATAGTTCATAAAACTCAGTCTAGCTACGGATTTCAAATGAGAGTATGATGTGGAAATATAGTGCGAAATGTAATATGCGCCTCTTTAAATTAATTTGATTAGTCCTGACAAATCATTATTATTATTATTATTATTACATTGTTGTCTGTATACAACATATTACTGTATATATGTATTTGCAAGTTCAAGTTCCTGCAATGTAAAATTTCCTATTAAGTATCTAGTAGATTTTGCACAAATGTGAATCCGAGTGGAAGCATCATGAATCTCTACTATATTTAAGAAATATTACACGACAAACATTGGCGCATGCTAGTATGAGTGTCAAATTAAGCTTGACTTGAAAAAGAGTCTAATACTTTGCCTTATTGATTAATTCAAAGGTAAATTGAAACGAAATGGTGTTGACCCGTGCCAACAATACTTCACAATTTCTAGCATACAAGGACATGTTTGCAAACGTTAGTCTCTCGTTGGAAGCATGCTAAAACGTACAAAGCCTCGGGTACAGATCCTTTGGGTCGTTAAGGTATTGACAGAAAACAGAATAACTCCTCAGTGGTCACAAAGTGCAGATTTAAAGGCATCACTAAATGCTCAGTTGTGCAGCCACAGGTGGTGTTTTAGTGCATGTCCTGAGCACTTTCATGCTCAATGTTGGCACAGTGCAGTAGTTCTAATGTGAAAGCACGGCCCTGAAGAGAAACAGTTGGAGAGCACTGCTGCCCTTGGAGAGTTGAGAGATGTAAGACCTGGTACGCCTAAAAGCCCAATTCTGTAACATTCTGTGTCTTTTATTGACTGCCAAGGACCTTTTTAAATATCTCTAAAACTGTGAGTCCATGTGAAAGGCAAAGTAAACATGTTTCCCCACTTATGTACTCTCTGGGACATTGAGTTTATCTACCATATTATGGTAGGAAACAGTTCACTCTACAATGCCTGCTGATATGTATACAAATGGAGATGTATGAGTCAAGTTAAAGAAATACCTTGTAATGTACTCAATCCATGGCCTTGTGTGTCCATTTACTTATTCACAGAGAGTGAATTTCTTTTTTCCACAGCGAGCCAGTTTTTCTTTGAGAGTGTCTGTTGTGAAGGCAAAGAGTCTGATGGCCAAGGACGCAAATGGTGAGACATCTCAAGCATCAAATGAATCTGTACTCTCCCTATGGAAAATGAAATATTTCCGGGAAATGTTATTTATCTATGCTGGTTGAACGGGCTGTGCTGATACAATGTAATAAGGTTGAATCCTGCACTGACACGATTATTGTTGCGTGTTTATAAAAGAATCTCAGAAGCTGAATAAAGTTAATTTAACTTATAATAATAATAATAATAATAATAAGTTATGTGTTGATTATATTGGTAGACCTTTAATCTGAAATGTACAGAAGAGGATCAGGGCCACATGAGAAAAAAATTATAATAATTAAAACATTTCACATCCTTTTAATTTTCCTTTCCACTAACAAGTCCTACATAACGCCAGAGCATTCTACATTGATCCTCCTTAGCAACGGTCAACATTTAGCTTAGCAGCCGTGTGTTATCGAGTATTAACAACCTCAAAATTTCCAAATTGACCAATCAGAATTGAGTATTCAACTACGCTATGTAATTAGATCAATATAGGATAGATTTTCGATCTGTTCAGTTGAATAGGGGACTTCTTGTTTTGTACCTTTTGACAAAAATGGCTGCAGGTTTTTTATTATTCTCCCCCACCACTGACGTCTACCTTTTGTGAGGTCAAATGTATCTCAAACACGCTCTAGGTCAACAAGTGGAACACTGACAGCCACTGAACCAAAGCAGTCTCTGATTGTAATCACAAATGAGGCTTCTCTCCTCACGCTGCCGTACCAGCACCCTCAGCGTGATATCAACAGTTTTAATGCGAGTGCGATAACCTTTTCTGTGTCACGCCACGGCCTGCCAGGGTACAGCGACCCCTATTGCATGCTGGGAATCCTGCTGGGCCAGAGCCCGAGGGAGACGGAGGAGAAGAAGGAGAGGAAGTTCAGCTTCAGGAAGAAAAAGGACAAGCTGGAGAAACGCTCCAGCACCAAGGAGGTGTTACCGACCGCCTGCATCCAGGTGACGGAGGTCAAAGCGGAGACTCTGAACCCGGTGTGGGACGAGCACTTCCTGTTGTGAGTACAGACGTTTAACCTTTAGCAGAGCGCTGGTGGTTATATGTGAGGCATTCACAGTTTCATTAGTTTCACACTTGAAGTTGTTGACCAGTGACCAGTGCTGCACTGATTCATCTCTGATTGACGTGTTATTATCAGTATTTACGCACAGAGATGATAACCCCTTTTTTTCCATTTCTCACAGTGAAATAGATGATGTCCACAATGACCTCTTACATCTTGACATATGGTAAGATTGCTATGTGGGAACACCTTGAATTCCTTAGATGTCACCATAACAGAGGGACAAAGAATGATTTTAAGGATTTCATTTTATTACGTTAGATGTTACTTGTTAGACGCTTTTATCCAAAGCAACTTGCATACATTCAATACTGTGGACAATCCCCATAGGAGCAATTTGGGGTGAAGTGTCTTGCCCAGGGACACAACGACATGCTGACTGCAGTGGGACTCAAACTTGCTATCCCCTGATTCAAAGTCCAGCACACTACCCACTGAGCTACAGCCACCCCACATACACTTTAGTTGTGGTACATTTCACAACATTTTTTTAATTCATTTTCTATTTTTCCAATCACAGTTTTTCCTTTTCCTCTCCATGCACAATAAAAAATACTTTCTTATACTAGACAATCAAGTTGCTTTTAGACCTCATCTCTAAACTGTCAAATTGAACCTTTTCAAATGTGTTACAAAATGACATAAACGGTGAGTCATGTTGCATAAAAGAAGATTGAAGAGTCATTATTCAGCTGTATTGAGTACTATTCTCTCGCCTGGGTAATGGCTCTGTAATAGGACTGCATTGTAGATCTCGCTTCTCAGCTCTGTTCACTGCCGTGCAAAGATAATGACGCATGTTCTTCCAGGAGATGAGGCTGTAATAACCTCTGAATCCTCTTCTTTCCTGCAGGGATCACGACGATGACGTGTCTGTTGCTGAGGCCTGCAAAAAGCTCAATGAAGTCAGTGGACTTCGAGGAATGGGCAGGTAGGAGAAACTCATTTACCATAAATATAAAGGACTGTTATCATGCAATTGTCTTAAATGCTTCATTTGTTAGAAATAATGAATATTCTTTAAGCAGAGTGTTTTTTTGAGGCTGAAGTGCAACTGAATCACAATGTAGGAGTTTTTACACAGTTGTAGTTCAAGTTGGCATTGTGGTAGTCAATCAAAGGGGACTTTCCAATTGTACGAAAGAGAGCAACATGTGGAGAAATGTTGTCCTTTTTGTTTTGTTCTTTTGTTCTCTGAACTCTTACTTAATCTCAAAATGTGGCCTTTAAAGTCAGATGACAAATTCCTTTTTGGTCAGATGCTTAATACTTTTCCGACAGAAGTTTAAATTAATATGTCTCTGTATTTGTTCTTTGACCTTTAGGCGAGACACCAAAACATCCTCTTTTTCATGCTCAGTTTTTTTTCAAGTGTGTGCTGTTTTGCTTCCATAAAATGTCTTGTTTCAGACTGAAGAGAAAAACTCCCAATGTTCAGAGTCCTTTGGTGTCTGTATAGTGTATGTAGATTGCATCTTAACCTTTAGCTTAAGAAAATACCACATGTAAATAACATACAAAGAATAGTCCTAATAAGTACGTTTCAAGGCGATATCTTTTAATTAACGTTTTACCCTTTTCATGTGTGGTGTCTCCTCTTAAAGAAAGAGTGACGTACAGAAATCTCGTTGCCAATAAAGCTGTGCACACAGAGATCACCCAGAGTTCAACGGGGGTTTTGGGGAGACAGATAAATGGCAGACAAATCTAATGAAACTTGGGAATGTCAATTAAAACCAAAAGACAAAGGGTCATGTGGCAGAAAGTTAGCCATTTTAATTAGAACAAAAATCATGGTAATAAAGACAACTGTTATTTTGAAATTGAACTACCTCTGCCGATGCTCTAATTGTGAGTCACAGTCGATAAAGTCATTAGCATAATGCCTTCATCATGATAATTGTTAGCATTCATCCTTTAACAAATTAGATATTCCTTGCACTTTCTCTCTCAGGTATTTTAAGCAGATAGCAAAGTCAGTGCGCTCCAATGGATCTGCATCTTCAGGCTCCGAGGACAACGCCGATGACTTCCTCGGATGCATCAACATCCCTCTGAATGTGAGTGTTCAGACTTTAAACATTTGTGGCTACTAGGACAAATCAAAACAAAAACACCCAAAAATTACCTGAAGTATGTAAAGGATATTCGTTAAAGGTCTCCTATCATGCAAAATGCACTTTTTGATGTCTCTTTTATGTGTCCCCGGTGTGAACTCACAAAGCGTCAGAAAACAAACCCTCTCTCTTTTCCTCCGTACCCAAATCTCTAAAAACGTGGGTACAACGAAGCTGATCCAGATTTGGGCTGGCTTTACACCCACGGCCCTTTCAGGAACGTTACTATCAGAAACAATGCACGACGTGTTTTCGTAATATGGTCTTTGTTTACATTAGCAAGCATCGCTATGTCGTAAAAAAGCAGGAAATAAATAAAAGAATAAATAAAATTAAAAAATTAAAAAATTCAAGCTAAGGACCCAGAATCAGCACTTTAGCAACAGGGCTGAAATAGAGGGATATGAGGGATGTCTAAAATTCATGATCTGTTTGGTATTTTGAGCAGAACACATCATAGACATGTTTTGTATATATTTGTATATATCTGAGACCCATAATATATGCCTAAACATAGCATGGTAGAGATCTTTAAGTGTTTACAATTGAAACGTGAAGCAGTACTTTCACATTTCGGTGTTGTTTATTTGTCCGGTCTCCTTCTTGCAGGAGATCCCAATCGTGGGCTATGACACCTGGTTTAAGCTGGAGCCTCGATCGAGCACGTCTAAAGTTCAGGGAGAATGTCACCTGATTCTGAAGCTGTTCACCAGTCAGGTTGGTGCATTCAGACTACTGTATACTTCTGTACTTGCATGTGAAGGATAAGAATTGCAACGTTTAATACTTGTTTTTTCTTTCAGAGGGACACAGCTTTGTCTAAGAAAGACTCAAATGTCTCCATTCACAAGAAACTGCTGAGTCAGATCGTGGAGTATGAGCATGCACATGTTAAGGTGGGTTTCAATGCAGCTATTCATTCAGAGCAACCTCTATAATAAAGGCAAAACTAACAATTTAACATTATTTTAACATTTTATTAATAGTGTATTAGTTTTGTTTAAATCTGGAAGCTATGTTCTTCTTCAGCAACATGTTTTTATCATTATTCCTCCATGTTTTTTTGACTTCTTCTTCTAAAGTAGAAACTTTATTCAGACATCAACAATTCTGCTCACAACTTTTAGAATATATACCTTTTTAAACTGTCAGAAGTATGCAACATTTTCAAGGGATAATTTCCTCATTCAAATTTGTGAAATATTCAGTATTAAAAGATGTGCACACTTATTACCATTCAAACCCTACAATGCTCCACATATTTTAGACATTAATGGTATGATTCAACTTTTAAAGCCAGCAATTAAATGTAGCATCTTTTATATAAATATATAAATATTCCACAGGTAATATACACATTTGTATTCAAATTCATCAAATCAAACCCATTGCCACTGTTCCAACTGTGCTTCAGCTTTCAGCGTCCAGCTTCCACAACAATATTTCCGCCTTCTCTTTTTTCTTGTTGAGTAGAAACAGATTTGTCTTGAACTGTCATGATAATCGTCCTCATATTTCCAGAGAGAGCCGTACAATTGGAACGGGCATGTCTGTCCTCCAGCATGGACCGTGCTGACTCACCATGCTGTGCAAACTGATCTCTCCCCCCTGCAGCAGGCCATTATGTGAGTAATAAAGGAATAGATATTGATCAAATTAAATAAAAACCCTTAAGCATCAGGTAAAAGTGCATGTTTTTTGTGGTGGCAGTCGCTGGCAGTGCTACAGCAGCCACCATCGGACGCAGAGGGTGTGCTACTCCCTGCTGCTGCGCCTCCTGAGGACCATCGATGCCGAGTGGGACCCCGTCGCTGTGAGGGGAGACCTGGTATGTGTTCACTGTCAGTCAGGGGAGAAAACTAAGCCTTTCATCACCTGGAAACAGACTGAATCCTGAGAATAAAGTCTGAATCCTGAGATAAAAGTCTAGATAAACTTCCCTTTTCAAAAAATATGTGGAACTCACCCTCTACTGTACATTTGAATTAAGACTAAAGCTATAATAAATAACCTTGGTATGTTCTTGGACCTAAAGCGGCTAACCAAACATCCTTCTTTTCATGCGCAGTTTTTATGTGGGCTATTTTGCTTCAATAACATATCTTCTTTCAGACTGGTGGAGAGAAAACATCCAATATTCACAATTGGCTCTTTATTTTTCTGACTTTTTCAATGCTAATTTATATTTCTTTAGATTCCATCTGAAAGGTTAGCTTCAGATAATGCCACATTTGAATATTTTAAACATAGAACGGGTTGTCTTCTTGATGTAAGTAATCAACTGAGGAATTCATGGAGATGTATTTTCATTAACACTTGTCATGTCTAGTGTATCTTCCTAAATAAAGAGTAGCATTCAGAGAACTTAGTGCCAATAAAGCGTTGCACACAGAACATACAGCCCATCACCTATCATCATCTGGAAACAGTCACCTCATTAGCTCTTCACTGACATGCATCAGGGTTTTTGGTCCAGCCAAAAATGATTGACAGCCGCTGTGCCGCTCTAATTGAGTGGCTAACTGAGGGCTCTCTAACTGAGGGCCTCTCTAACTGAGGGCCTTCCTGTGTCCAGGAGCGGCAGCTATCAGACAGCTTCAGGCTGTACACTGAGCACTGCCTGTGCCTGATGAAGAACATGCGGCAGGTCTTCCCCTGCACAAGTTCCGCTGCCATCACACGCTACGAACTCATGCTGAGGTAAAGTCACACTGCCATCCAACACCCGCCTTCACACATACTTCAACCAGGCACTCACACTCTGCGTTGGGTTTCCTACTCAAACAGAAATATCTTAATCATTGCTCATTACACATTTCTAAATGTTATTGTATATAACAAAGTAATATTTTGTAGCAACTTCTTGTCATAAGCAACAACCTCAATATGTTTACTTTACATGACACATTACCAGCGACGTGCGGTCAGGGGAGGCAGGGGAGGCAGAGCCTCACCTGTCATACTCCAATGGAATGGAAAAACAACTAAAGAAAAACTAAATAGTAATAATAATAAGATGTCTCCACTGATCTATGTTGTAAGTGTGATTAATGTATGATTCCAATCGCTTTTTAAAGTCAAAATCAGCTAATTTGCCGAGCTCCGCTACAACTACGGGTAGCGATGAGAAGTGAGGCAGGGAAGAGCTCTGCCTCTCGTAAACCCACAGTAACTTGCTGGAGCGAAGGCACTAATTTAGCGCGGGCACTTATTTTGTGAGCGCGCTCAAGCCAGTTACTGTGGGGTGAGTTGAGGCACAGATGAGCTCTGCCTCACCTCAGAATGCGTCACCCCACAGAAACTGGCTGGAAAGCGGGCACTAAGCGCGTGCCTGTTACCATCTCACTGTAGGTCACCAATGTAATGTTTGTAGATCCCTTTATTACATTTATCCTCGCCATCCATAGTCTCTAAATAACTTATTTCACGTATGTGATATTTAGGCTCGCTGGTCTCATCATACAACGGCAATGAAAAAAGCACCAGGAGAGGCAGCCATAACCTCTGCCGCACTGAAGGGGGCGCACGTGAGCCCACAGGTTCTTGTTGCTACTGTTATTCTACGCAGAGACGGTAGACACAAACAACAAACTAAACTTTTCAAACTACAGGAAGATAAGGAGGACTTTTACAAAAAAGTAATAGAGATGTTGTCCAGAAGGATAGCATGGACTTCATCTTCAAGTCAAGGTAAGACCACAATTGTAATGAAAATGGGATCTTACTAAGAGAGAACAATCCAATATTTAGATTTTGGGTATCCTTTTGTTGAATGGTCTGTTTAAAATGAATCGAAGCATCAGACTAAAAAAGCTTTTGAAAATAACCGAATATTTCGATTAAGGTCAAAATATTATATTTGTAAATCTGACTCTGAAAGAGTCAGTGCCTGACCAGCCATGAACCTCACCGCACGTCACTGGAATACACTAGTCACACCAACCCAGTCTCATAAAAAAACGTGTAATAACTACGTTGGTCCACAACTTGGGACGTAGTATTTCTACAAAAACGCTTCTGAAATTGTGAGATCCCTACGTTTTTTTTCACCACTCATTCCAATGGCTGGCGTCTATGTCACGTGATCTTCTAATTTCTCCCTGCAGAAAAAAAAAACTTGTCCGAACTTCGTTTATTCTCATTAAAATGTGTTTTGATGTCATTTGA